ATATATATATATATATATATATATCAATCTATGGTATCGACTGTGTTTAAACATCACTAGGAGAATGATAAAGAAGGGGTTTCGAAATATAGACAAAAGAATAGATAAAGGCTTGAAGTTGCACGCTTGATGATGATGGCTACTAATAGTTAATTAGTTTCTTGACTTTGTCTTATACTACTAGTTTACAGAAAATGGCGAAGGGTTTAAGCTTGTGTATATATTGTTGACATGAAAAGCTTTCTTTAAATTTGGAAGTCAGGTTATCAGTTTGTTTGATAAGAAATGGTGTAGTATTAACTTAAGACGGAGAGACAGAGGATCTGGAACGTGAATGGAAGTTAAAACCTTGCTCTCTCATCTAAACTTTGATGGCAACATTCTTAAAAAGCCAAAGGACTTAATAACTTAATAATTATTTCTCAACAATGTCATTGTTATGGTCGTCAATAGGAAAACAATATAAGGGTGCATCTGATAAAATTGAAATCTGAAGTCTAAAATATGAAGTCGGAATCCATTAAGTTATGGAATTGTTAAGTATTAAATCTAATATATTTAAATATATATCACATTCAGTGATAATGAATAGGTTATCACTTAATTTTGAGAGCAAGTTTTGCCTAGAAAATTCAATACCACTTAATTAATTCAGATGTTTAATTTTTGGTTATTAAACAGTTTGAATATGTTAAAATCTGATTCCATTAAGTTTAAATGCTAAATTGAGTTATCAAATAGGCTTAAGATTAATTGCTTAAAGTCTCTTCTTTTAAATTCTGACGTTTTTTGAGAAACTAGTGAGATGATTTCCCATGTGTACATATTGAAGCGCAACGGATCTTCTATCCCACACCCTATGCCGTTCTCTGTCCCATTTTTTATTATATTGCTATTTCTCTTTCATAAACGTCATGTTTTAATTCTTTTTTATTTTCTTAAAATCCAATAACTATTAATTCAGTAATACACAAAATTTAACAAATTCAAAAAATCAAAATAGATAAAAAATGAGATTTTTTATGAATTTTCTGCTGTATTTTTTAATTTTCTATTATATATTGCTTTTTTGAAGCTGTTGTATTTATTTATTACTGAATTAATAGTTATTGGATATTAATGAAACAAAAAAGAACTAAAACATGATGTTTATGAAGGAGAAATAGCAATATAACAAAAAATGGGACAGAGAATGACACAGGATGTGGGACAGAAGATCTGTTGTAATATTGAAGTGGGCCAAATTTTGTACTGCTATGAAATGGTCCGTGGACATGGAGGCATGTGAAATAAATACTAATGCATGTGCATTTAGTTATGAACATGGCATAATATAGCAGCAATGACGCACCAATACTGCCAGAACCCCAAGTTGTTTTCGGCTTCTCTTTGAGACCTGTTGATGGGCTAGCAAGTGTCAATTCCTCATTGGGAAACTAAATGCACCCTGCAGATTTCAGATGTCTTCCAAGTTAGGAGATTCAGATGATTTGTTTTCTGGTTGGAAAGCCAAATTTCAGTTTCTTCAATTGATAGCAATCAATTCCTACAATTTATGTGATCCTCCGGTCTTGAAAGCACCTACTTAATGAGGCTTTTTGGGGATTTGCCAGGTTTAGAAATAGACCATTACTCCAAAGACTGTTTGCACATCTTAAGTTATCTTGAGAAAAGACACAAGAAGGATCCTCCAATTCAATTTGCCAAGAGCAAATGTCACAAAACACAATACTGAAGAAAGCTCAAGACTTCTGTATTCTTCCTCATTATCGTTTGGGAAAGTATTGATTATCAAGAAACATGACAAAATTTGGAGTGCACGTATCTGAAAAAAAATCTTAATTTTTTCCCCATTGTTAATCGACAAAAAAGTATTTGGCCAATACGTAATAGTAATTAACAGTTGCAGGCCTGCCAAACATTGTTGAAAATACTGAATTGCATCAGTTTGTCCCTGGTCAGTCAGGGACAAGAGATTTCTTCCTCCTTGGGTAAGAGAAAGGTCCCATTCTTTGTCCATGGCTTTCGATGAGCCCAAGGCTCCTAATCTCTTTGGCCTTTCATCAGGATTTGTGACTTAAAATTGTTAGATATTAGCTTTGGTTGTGTAATTGCACTGGTCACAGGACATGCCATGTGCTGATATCAAAATTACCGTCAAATTGGAAGTTGTAAAGGAGTCAAATTAAACAAAAACGAATGTGTGTCTTAAAATTTTAAGAGAGAGGCTTAAATGCGACTCGTGAATCTATCAGCAAGAGTAATTATATCAACAAAAATATGTTTTTGTGGTGAACTTTCAAACCACAAGCTTAATTGGAACAGATGAAATTAGAAATGGACAATTCCACTCGTGTTTGGCTCATCTGATAGGAGTTTTTTGCCAAAATAATACTCTTACTAAAAAATATTTCCAATGTGATTCACTTTCAAATTTTATTACCAAAATGATATTATTGTTCCCATCTAATTATCCTGATTGCCATGTAGAATAACAAGAAAGGAAAGTTCTAGTCCAGATTATAGTTTCTAACATTAACTAAAATTTTAATTTTTTTTATTATAGAGGCACAAGAAGATTGCATAACTTTTATAATTTCCTTATAATTATCTGAAATAAATTTTACCATTATTGACCTTACTATTATTGGTCTCCAAATTTTTTTAAATGTATCAAACCTATTGCATATATATTTTTTCAAAAAATAATTTTAAAAATACAAAAATTGCACCAAAAATTGCAACGAAAATTGTAATCAATTACAAAAATTTCAAGGTTATCATATTTGTTTATGTTATCCTTCCTACTCTTTGAAAAGACGAAAATAATCTTCATCTACCTTAAGATTATCGACTTGCGAAACATATTTTTTAGATGTTATTAATATAAAGATTGGCTTCTTAGATTATGTTTGACAAGGGAAAGATAACGAAAGAAAAAAATGTGGGAAGCTTTATAGAGAAAATTGAAGAAAATATTAGATGAGAAAGAGAAATGAAGGACGTCTTTATCTCTATCCTGACACATATGCAGCGTAAGTGGCAAAAAAGGATCACAAAGGTAATAAGTTTTAAAATTAAGTTACTTTGAGTATATATTCTAGAAGAAGAGTTATTTTGGCAATAAACTCCATCTGATAGACTGTCCTAATACATGTATGATACCACGTTAATTAGATATCAAATAGTGTCTTAACATAACCTAAGTAGTGAATCCTAGTAATTTTGGAGCAATCCCAAGCAAAGGCTGAAGAGTGCTTGGATGAAACTTTCTTGCAAAAAGGTGACAAACTGAGCTAATCTCACCATTGTAACTACAATTGACCCCAAAACGAGCTTGATTCAGAAATGGTTCTGTGATATCATTCCTCATAAATGTTCTAGGATGTGAACCTCCTGTAGACCAATCAGTCCAAGTTATAGTCCTATTTGATGTCAACTCAGGACAAACTTTTGTCACCAGCGTTGGTAAATAATGCTCATCCATGTAGCAAGGGGGCATGCAAAGGTCTCTGAAAATTGGGTACAATTTTACATCAGAGACAATTTCAATTGCTAGCTTTCTGTTGGCTTCAAACCACTGTGACCCTTTTCTCCAATCTGACAGTGTAATCATTGGCCACATTCTCTTGTTGTATCTTCCTCGGCCTATTGGCCTGGGATCGTCAAATGTGCTGAGAAAGCTTTGGTTGGCGTTGATGAGGTAGTTGTAGATGGTAGTGAAGTTGAATATGGGAATGCAGGCTTCTGAGAGTAATATGAATCTCTCGTTGGAATGGTCAAGGAGGGCATTTGCTAGTAGACGTTTCTCTGCATCAATCATTGTCACTCTTCCCCATTGAACATGCTGCAACAACCACCACTAAAATGAAATCAAGCCAGGATTATGTGGAATAGTATAAACTTTTGAGTATATTTTTTAATAGGGAAGAAAAATTTGCAATTTTGCAAGTAGATGATAGTATTTATCACTTTTCCCAGGAGGGAAACAGTTCGGTATTTTTGCCTGAAAAACTATAGATTATTAGTGGTAATAAGAACCTTGCTTGGTATTCGTCGCTTGTAAAATACAGATGATTCAGGAGGCTCATTGGTGAACTCTGGAGATGTATGAAGGTAAATTGAGAAGAAGCCCTGATGTCCTTTGAAAAACACTTCCCAGAGTGGTGCCAAGGGTAAGCTTCCCCTAGTCAAGAACATGAATGCAATTTTGGGGGTACGATTGAATGGGTATTCAGTTATATGAGGTACCAAAGAGGCCCTCCAAAGCAATTCTTCATCACTCATTGAGTGCCAAAGACCTTGTTGAGATGCCAAATCCATCAATGTATCAGTGGTATTATCTGAACTATAATTAGACTGTGAAGTTGAAAGAGATGAGTCTGAGGAAGAGTTGCATTGGTTTTGTGAGGATAGAGACAGAGAATAGGCAGTGGGTTGAGCGAAGTACAAGTCATCATAGATTGAGTACTTTTTGAGATGATCATTGATGAACATTCCCAGAATTAGAAGAAAAAATGCCATAGAAATACAGAAGACTATAGTGGTGGCAACTTCAAAACTCCCTTCCCTATCTTCTCTTTCAACGCGAACACTGAGTTTCTTCACAAACATTGTCATTTAAACTCCTCTCTTGATATCTTCTTATCTCTTCACTTGCGCATGGTATTTTATAGCAGTTTTATGGACGTCAAAAAGTAATAACAAGAAACGAAGCATGCTTTCCATCGCTATACTGATAAAAGAGGGTCAAGGAAGCAAGATAAAGAGAAGTTAATAAATGATGAAAAATGTGACAAAAGTATATTCGCACAATAAGGTAAAGCAAGGTTACCCTCGAGAATGGCTTTGGTAACTTCTCAAGTAGCAAGTAAAGATCTAGAGAGCAAAAACAAGCAAGGATAGGCACATGGAAAGTGTTTTCAACCGTAAAAGAAAGGAAAATAACATAATGACTGGCATACTCTCTGTCTGTGTGTGGCTGAGAGAGAGAGAGAGAGTTCCAAGTAGTAAATATGCTTTCTGCTGCTAAAATGGCAATGTACTAATTCTTTAGCTGTTCAAATACTGTACTTCATGCAACTCCAACCAGAATACATTTGTAGCTAGTGTAACATGACAAATATTTGCCATCTTTTGACTGCTTCTGTTTATCGTATAAGATGGAAAATGTCTAAGTAATCTAGTAGTTTTTCTATCACTTTACCAGGAATGCAAATGACAGTCATGTGATAGTGGTCAGTTATGATCGAGTTTGTTCCTGGAAAAATACATTGCAGCGAGACCTACGATAGCTGCGGCCCCAACGATTTCTGCTGTCCTTGCAATATAATGCCTTATTGGGAAGCTTCCACTTCTTAAGTATGCCCACATCCAACGGGATAGAAAATGAAGCCGGCATGAATTTTGGAACCTCTGAATCGAAAATTCCTACAGATAGGAAAGCAGGTCATACCAGCAAGAACTGAGAATCCATACCCAACTCTTTAAAATAAAAGGAAAGGTCTAGTTTGGCCAGTATGGTTACAATATTGCAATCAAATCTAGCAGATCCTAGAGCAGTAGCTGTCCATAATACAACAGTTGTCTAGCCTAGATATTCTGTATAGCAGGTCCCAGAAGAGCAGCTTTCACAGTGGTTCATATTTTGCTCACATGGTCAAAAAATTCAGCAAAACTGCACTTAAAGTTCTCTAAAGAGAACTCCTGCACAAAGGAAAATTTTGAGCTCTTCTTACGCATGAAATTGTTAGTGGCATAATGAAAAGGAAGTCGTGCAAGACACTTGTTGAATCTAGCACTTCACAGTTAATTATACCTTCAAGGATAATAAGCGAAAACATAAATTTTCTAAGTAAGGAAAGCTGATTGACAAAATCTTGTATAAAGCTCAAATGTTTAGGAGGTCCGACATTTCCTGTAAGAATCATAAATTCCACTGGAACAATGTATGCTTAGACGTGTTTATGTAATTTACTAAACAGGCCCCAATGGAAAAGCATTGCCATCAGTGAAGTAACATCTAAAATAATAATAAAACATTCTGTAGAAGAAGGTACAAGTAACAGATTTATTTTTCATTTCTTTGGCTAGGAATAAGCAACAAAATTACAATCTGTCTCGAAGATGATTAAACCCATCAATATCTCCTCAACCCAGCACTCCATGGATAATACGCTTTCAAGTTTCTTGTGAAGTAAGCCTAACAACCAACATCTATAATAAAAAAAATTTTTAAAAAAAAACCAACATCTTTACTACTTGTATCCTACTTGCTGTGTTTTCTCACGTTACATGCTTCTTCCAATCTAATGCTTTGCGGAAATTAACTTGCATCAATTTTTAAGTCATGCTATATATGTAGAAAATGGGGCAGCATGTCCCTTTTAATGTGCCTTGCAATCATGGGAAAGAACAAGATCTTGTCCATTACATAGATACTTTCCTAGGCCATCTTTTCTCCGATTAGGTAGCTAAAGACTACTTGAACAAAAAGTCAAATCATGGTAGTCTGGTGGTGATGGATTCACTAACTTACTGTAAATCTGCTTTATCAGTTACTGGCATGTTCCATGCACCAATAAACCCGCGAGGAGCATATCATTTCTTTCCCTTAAAAAACTAAGCTAATTGACAAACTAAAGGAGCAAAACATCTTCAGCTGAGAATAATAGGCTGGCAACACCGATGACTGTATCTTAGCTCATTAGTCATTAGCGAAAGCTGAGGACTCCAGGATGGAGCTGATACATGAATTTTTGAAAGCAAGACGCGCAATACCTTTGGTAACTTATCCTGCTCTGCAAGGTGGTCCACATGTAGCTTCACATTTGATGCAGCAGGAATCCAAAAACTGCGATCAACTTCAGCATAAGTGTAGGAAACAATGTCAAACAATGTTTTGGCTCCATCTTCTATGGATTTCAAGATGGTTGACTCTCGATTTCTTCGATTCCTGAGAATTGAAACCAATATCCTATTAGAATTCAGTCCTAAATATAATACATTATCATTTTTTTTTAACATGTGAGATGATTGTGCTGCCACTGCTATTGATCTCATATGCATATATGGCTGAAAAAATAATCTCTTTCCAACGCGATAATATCCAAGTCTGAGTTAATCTCTTTGCCCACACTGTTCACCTACTGCCCCAGACATAAACGCAGATGTAGTATTGCACAAGCAAAGGTGAAACATACTTGAGATAGCCACAGAGCATGTGTTTTGGCCACAAATTAATTCTTCCGTGCATGGGAATTAAATTGTGTGGAGAGAGATCGATAAATAGGTATGTTGTCCGGAAATATTCCTGCACAAAAACTAGGAATCTCATGATCCAAATGATTTCCATTGAAAGAAGAAAAACAACCCAAGCAATAACACACTCGCAAGGATGGAAATCCTATTCTGATATACTGCATGCTTTACCTCCATCATATTATAGTGTAAAATAAAATTCAACTAAAATCAAAACAATGTGCATTGGTAGTAGTTAAAATATCAAGGTTGCTATTATTGATTATCCCACCTCTTTGATTATTCCAATCTCAGATTTTTAAGGAAGATGTGTTTTTAAAATATTGTCCATTCTGTATTGTGGAAAAATAGAACAGGAAAGGAAAGACAGATTCATCGCTTCTTGTTTTGATAATCAAGGATCATCTGAATTCCTTGAGATTTTGACAGCTGGGCACCTTGAATTGTAACTGAAGAAAAAGAAGTTTACCCAACCTAAGAAAAGTAATGCAAATTTGTTCAATTCCAAGAAATTAAAAACATAACCTCCAGCAAAGACTAAAGAGGATCTCATTTTCCTCCAATGGGAAGAAGATTCAAAACAGAATCAGGTACATTCTGCATAATGGTTTATTTAGGAATAGGTGAATCATGACCAAATTGAACCTATGGATCACCCATGACTCTTTTGCAATGTATTTGACAGTAGAAAAGTATTTCCACTGAGCACCCTTTAGAACTGAACAAAAACCACTTGTAAACCCAAGAAAATATTAGCATATCATGCCATGAAAATGGAGCCACAATCAAATCAACAAGAATATCAAATCAAAGGTAATGCGGGCGAAACTTTTTGCTTAACATGGACATCACTCTAATTGGAGAACCAAATACATTAACTAAACTTACAGTCATATTTCCACCAGATGTCACATCCAACACGGCACTTCCTTGCCTGAAAATTATCATGAAGCAAACATCAGAGAATAATGAAAGGCTGAAAATCATCAGATGCAACCCTTCAGCATATTCCAGAAAAGGAGTTAGAGCAGAGACTATGAAAGGCTATACGAAACAACAAAATAATGGTAAAATTCAACATCACATGAACTAGATGTGGAATGTGAACTGTAATAATAATATTGCTCCAATACAAGTGTCTTCTTCTGAACCGTACCCCATGCAATGATCACCAACAATCAACGAATTAGTGCTGACGTGAAGCAATGCCATATGGCCATCTGTGTGTCCCTGAATAAGGAATATTTTACATCAACAAAGATCATGTATTTGATTAGTTCCAAAGAGGTGGAACTTCAGTTGATATTACTGGTTTTACAACAAGAATCCAAGAGCACCAGAATAAGAAATTTGGAACTTGAATAAAGACATCATGAAGCAAACATCAGAGAATTTACCATGCCTAAGAAATCCATCTGAAATCCATATATCTCATTCAAGGTATTACTTCCTCAAGAACACCAATAACAATTCAATAATAGTTCAAAGAATTACTTAAGATGCTACGATATTAGAAAGCAAAGCAGACCTCAGAACATCACCATGTGATAAGAGATGAGCAATATGAATTGCTTTCTCTTTTCATACTTCATCATGCAAAAATTAATAACAAAAGAAGAAAGTGGAGCTGATGGTAGTAACTTTACAGTTCTTTAGTTTCCATGTAGCATTCCAGCAAACTGACAAATCCACTTTCTTTAACCTTACAGTTCCTTATTTTCTGTGAAGGATCTTTTGTCCCACTTCCTGTACCATTTCTTGTCCCAACATTTATTAAATTGTCATATAAACTTCATGAAGATCTCATTTTAATTCTTTTTCTTGTCCCTTTAAGTTCCAACAGTTACTTATAGGGTAAAATACAAAAAAATAACAGACTAAATAACAATATATAACAGAAAAAAAAAAGAAAATTCATTAAAAAAGGACGTTCATGAGGGATATATGGTGATTTAATAGATGTCGGGACAGGAAATGGTACAAGAAGTGGGACAGAAGATCCTTTATGCTTATTTTCTATGTAGCAGTCCTGTGAACTGACAAAATAAATATAACCTTCATGACCTATCAGGTAATGGAAGGCATGGCTAAAGCCCTCTATTTCAGGCCATGTAGCAGCTTAATACAGGATTACCCTGATTTAAAACTGGTCCTAACTAAAACAGAGAGTAGTGAACCTGACCTCTATTTAGGACTAACTAAAGTTACTGCCTCATATGTATGTAGTTTCATCAGGAAGTTACAATTGAAAGAAGCTTTTTCAACACTAATTCTAGAACAGACTTTCAAGACACTTTTTATCTAAATTAGCAGCAGAATAAAAGTAAAACAGCCATTACAAGTAAAGAGTTGGATGTGTTTCATCTAAGAAACTAATGCACCATCATGGATTTTACACCAAATGCAGGCAATTGTTCTGCTGATAAACTACTCAATCAGGAAGCATGCTAGATCTTACTTTGACATCAGAGAATACAGATTGTCAAAGAGGGCAGACCACAACTAAGCTAAGGCAAGTCACCACTTCAAAGACCTTGTCCAGAAAATAACTGTTTCAGTCAACCAAAGTATTACATATACTTGGACCAACAGTGATAGGGTAAAGTCTAATTGTTGGTACCGCGACCAATGTCACTGGGACAATGGCTGCTTCATTATCTCTCAAATGAAACAAACAATGTAATGATGCATGCAGCTAATCACATATTATATCAAACAAGAACACTACAAACCATGACTGCAGAAATATATGTCTCATAATGACTAGGATTACATGAAGGATAGAGGCCATTAAATCAAGTAATCCATCCTTCAAACGAAGTCAACCAGTTCAAAGTTTACTATTTTTTCCATTGTATTCTGACATGATTTAACTAACTTGTGCAACTCAAATAATCCCAGAAAAGAAATAGTTGAAACAAACATTTCTGAGTGTTTCTTGACAAACAGACCTGCTAAAAGTTTATTTCTCAAGATTCTTTGAATTGGGCTTTTGACCTTATGTCACTAGCAGTGGCAATTTGTCCCACACAGAAAGATAAAGTTTTGTTGGAATATTATATCTTGGCATTTTTTACAGGTGTAATTTCTTATTTCAATTGAGGAAAATATTGATGTGAACCATCGGGTCAGATCAATTAGACGGATCATCATGGTATTAAATGTTTCAAACAACAGTTCCCCTACTACTGAAGGGAAAACGGAAAATAATAGAAGCATCCTGTAGCTGAAATTTCAATTTAAAAAAGTTAAGCCCATTAGCATATTCAGATGCACAGAGCTTTTGAATGAAAATTACTGGTGCATGTATGATTCGCAGTAGCTGACCACCAATGTAGACCTCTTCAGAACCAGAAACAGCAACATGAGAAAGAGACCAATCATCTGCATTAATATTCAAGTCAATGTGAGGAAGAAAATTTATTACTGAATGAAGGAAACTCTGTTTGTCCTAGTCAAGTTTTTAATTTAGAATAGTTTATACTTCCCGTGACCCACAAATCTTGGAAAACACTTTACAATATCAATGAAATTCAAATATGGCTCCTTCGCCAAGAATAGATTCTTAAGCAAATCCTTGGATAATTCTCTTTCTGGAATGTCATAGGCACAGTGATAGGGTTTTTTCTAAACATATATCCAAAAGAGCTCCAACAGCTATATATACTGAAGAACTCCAATGGAGTTTTTTCTAATCACACAATAGACCAAATAAAAAGAACTCCAAGTCTCCAACTGCCAAATGCTACTTCCGAAACTTCAAAACCATAGTCAGCTCAATACAAGTGCATTCCAACAAGCAAGGACTGTCATTTTGAAGTGCAATGAAACTCAAAGAATACTAGTTGAAAATCTGACATCAAATTTGAGCCTAGCATAAAATGGCACTTTCTGTTATAGTTAGGTACTGAAGTAGAAGTTTTCATGAATGTGGCCACCATTCCAGGGCACAAGCTGTGCAAAACTAACAAAAAATGAAATCCTGACCTTTTCCAATTCGACGTATAGTATTTTCATGAGCCAAGAGGGTAGCACCAGTATTGCACTTCTGAACCACAGAAAGACCTGAAATGAAACATGATGACCGGTAATCACTCCTTTTATTCATTACAGCAAACAAGATCAAATTCAGAAACAAAGTTCAACTGCAAAAGATGATTCTAAGTCGACTTTGAGGAATTGTGAGTTCGTCATTCACTAAGTTTTCTGATTTAGTGATGACTCCAAAGTCAAAATGCAGAAATATCATTTTATCCTATTATCCACATAGACAGGGTCTTTAAGCTGAATCAAGAATAGCAAAACATATGGAGCAGGTGCTGGAGCTGCAGTTTTCAGCTAACAAAATGTTAAAAAAAGGTCCAATAGAGAAGAAACTGATTTTTTGTTTAACTTCCCTTGATCATGTTCAAAGAAGCAAAATTAAACAATGAAAACAGAAGACATGCAGATACATGTGGTTTATTTGCGCAAGTAAGACACTGACACAGATAGAAGATCTAATCATGAAAAGTAACACGTTACAAGGTCTCTAGGAGAAAATGACATCCAAGCACATCAGAAAATCAGAGACTTAGAGGAGGAAGAGCAGTATAATAAAGATATATACATTAAGCTGGACAAACCTATTCAACTGCTTACCATCGACATGGTCATGATGGTGATGGGTCACGAAGACAACCAACTTTTTTGGCAAAGCAGCAATAATTTCTTCAAGCTGAAGATGCAAAGATCATTATGATGGAGAATCAAAAATGACAAACAAATAAACAAGCAAGTTTCTAAATAATGGTTGATCCAGTTCTAATTAAGAGAAAAGACAAGTTTGGACTAATCTCCATTATTATTGATGCTCTATTACTCCAGTTCTATTCGTCTTGTTCCAACAACTCCACTGGTCAATTTTACTTTGCCCTGTAATAGCTGACTCTGTCATGTAGTAATAAAATCAACCAAGAATTTCATGAGTACATTTCAGGTCCCTACTAAGTAAAATTTGTCGCCATCCTTGTGGGGAAATATAGAGGCCAATGAAATTAAATGGGAAGTTTAAAAAAGAAAAACATGACATTTTTAATGGGCTTTTAATATTTTACCTCCCTATGTCCTTTGCAAGACAAGACTATAATTTCATCAACCTCCCCCTCATATTTTTAAAGGCTTAAACCTAAAGACCTGCCAATTCAGGACTGTTTGACTATATTACTTGGATTACAAGCTCACAGGAGAATCATGTTAATGATATAATAATTGAAGGTATTTAGTTAGGTCCAATTCTAAACATTCTGATTTTCCCTAGAAACAAATTCAGGAACTGTTGCATTTGCATTGCTTCAGATTAAGATCAGCAGACCGTAGGACACTGAATTTGGTAGAAATTACTGTCATAATTCAAGAAGTTAATTCTCGTTGCTTTGACAAAACAAGCAAAACGTGCTTAATAACTATAGGAATGGTCCATTAAGTTTACCTCTCTGTGAAAAGCAGAGCTGCATCCAGGGTCTACAATTAATGCATCACCACAAGCAATAAAGCTATTATTACTAGAGCTGTCAGTTTTATTTCCGGGCACAAAGATAACCAAGTTCGTAGTTCGAAATGGTTTCCCTGTCCTACTCCCCATCGGTACAAGCTTCAGACCTGGAGGGTACTCCTAAAAAGCATAGAGCAAGGTCATATAGTCACAAGCTATACTGATTAAGCAAAACAAGCAACTACACTTGTAATCACAAAACAAACTTCACACCAACATACTTGAAGTAGATATGAAATTTTTTGCTAAAACTTCCAATTTGAAATATTCAGAAGAATCACTGTGCAGAAATTTCAAGCAACCAGTATTCCTATATTGAACTAGTCATTAACAATGAACTAGCGAAAAGATATTCAAATTAAATAAAAGACCTGACAATGTGAGGTAGGAGGAACTTTCCAACTTTCAGATGGTGCCATGTCATTTAGGAGGCCAAGAACAGCCAATGGTCCCACACGATCACTGTTGGGCTTCACTTCAAGAAGCATTTCAAGGCAATTCTCCATTCTTATCCACTTGCAAACCTCTGTGAACAGTTCATAACTTGCATTATTTATCTCTGCAAAGATGCTTGAATCTTTTTTGTTTTATTTATAAGATGGAATGTATGCAAGGGATCTGACACCATACAAATTGTGGAATCAAGAATTGTTGGACAACTGAATGTATACTCATCAAAAGAATACTAGTTTTTCTGAAGTAATAGTACTGACATCATAGGACAGAACTTTGAGATTTGGTAGCAAAATACAAGCTATAAAGATGAAAATCAACCTTATCAGATTGGCAATATCTCAATGATGAGAATGCTATTTGTTATCATTAGATTGAAGAAAACTTTCAACATACATAGAGCAAAATTTTACCTGACTGTTTCTGGTGATAGATTGATGCTTACACAGTTGTCCCATGTAGAACTAATATTACAAAAATACTCTCATTTACTCATTCAAGAGAAAACTGAGAGAAGGGGAATTATACAGGGCAGACAAATTACAAAAGTTACAGTTTCATATAAGGAAGTTTGCTTCCCTATGATTAACATATTCACAGCATTTAGCCTGAACCAATTAATTCATTGCTTTTAAGCCTGCAGGAATTGAATACAAGTTTTCTAAGGAATTTTCGCTAGCAAACCTTTCAGCTTCCCGTCTTGAGACCCTAAATTTCCAACAATGTACACTGTCTTAATAGGCAAACCAGGCCCAAAATCAGGCTCCTCTAGACACTTCCAGAATTCCCACTCTACCTCCCTGGCTGACCCATATCCTACTTGCTCCAATGCCTACATTTAAAACAATAATAAGCATAAGAAGCTGCACAACCAGCAAAAATGCATATCTATTTAAGGCAAAATTATAGGAAATAATTTACAATAAGCAACCCAACGATTTCAAAGAAGGTATGTAAAAACTACAAAACAATGCCCACATTTTGAATTTCCTATAGTCTAATGTTTAGATGACAGAAACAAATTTTAAAATTGGTCAAAATTCAAACTTTGTACTTGGGAACTCCAATACACGTAAACGCATCAGCAATACTCTATTTCAGAGTCCAATTCTAATTCTCGGTTATAAAAGATGCAAGAAATCTGAAAGCATAAAAAAATCTGCACTACTTTCCATCCCCAATCATTTCCAGAACCGAACAATCCAAGAAAAAGTATGAAGTTGCATAAAACAGTTTAACTAAATAATCCCAAAAAGTGTAGTTTAATAAAGGAAAAGATGAACTTCAGTTGAGGTGAGGTGAGAGAAAATATACCTGATTGAGAGCTGAATTAAAATCAAATTCGCTTAAATTAATCTTATCTGAGGAAGAAAATTCACGGGTTTTTATGGATATTTTTGAATGTAATAGTTGATCAGATTCTGATAGTGGAGTTAACTGAGTAGAAGGCAAGTCCCAGAGGTCAGTATCAACAAAGGAATCATCCTCAGGGTCATTGAATTTTGGAGGTGGAGTTTGTTTTATGAGGAGGAATTCCTCCTTGTCCAATGGGTTCTTGATGATAACTGCAAGTTTGTGATTTGCTGCAGCCATTGCCAAAACTGTTGGCAGCACAGAATCACACAAATCAGAGAACGTTAAAAGCTTTGTCTTGTACAAGTGGGAGTTGCAATCTGTGGCAAGTGCAACTACCACTGCTCTACTAATTTTGACGGCAAAAGAATAAAACTCAAATCAGGATCGGCAGCTGCCCCTGCTGATAATACCTCCAACACGAGATTAAACACGTTTGCCAAGCAGTAGTAAATTTTATTGGTACAAGTATTTTGTTAAGTGTTAGAAGCTTTGGCTTGTACAAGTCGGAGCTGCTGCATTCTGTGGCACCTACCACTGCTTATAGTCGAGGGGAGAGGCAAATGGCAAAAGAATTGGCTTTGTACAAGTGGGAGCTGTAATCTGGGCCGACTAATTAGTTGAGTGGAGTCACGACTAATTGATGGCAACCTCATTTTAGGAATTCTAATAGTTGTGTCTGTCCTTCAACAACGTCGTGTGACTGACAGGTTTGTGAGTAATAGTACAATGTATTGGTACAAGTATTTTGTAAGTGCACCTTAAGCATCGGTTTGAGTATTTTGTGAGTGGACCTTAAAATCTCGCTGGAGTATTCACATGATATATCTATGGCATCGCATACAATCTGTGCCAGGTGATTTGCCGTATGGAGCTTCTTTTTAGCAGTGGCTCTGACAAATTCAACAATGTTTGCGCATAACATTGTTAATTAATCATGTTGAGCTTTTTCCTGTGTATGTAACTATAGTCCTTTCTAAGTTCTTTTTCACTTGAAGATTTTTTATTCCAATTCTGTTTATGGACTTTCTAACTTTAAAGAAAGTCCGGAGTAGATGTTAAAACCCAAAAACAATGTGTGTAGAAATAAACACAATTACTTTGCTCAAATTTCAATAAGGGACAATATCTGTTGTAATCTTACTTCTTGTATGAATGTCTATATTTATTATGTTACAATTACTACTGTCACTTAAGAGGATCCCTTAATCCATGTAGCATAGTGATTTGCAATGGCAGGCAATTGAAAGTCTTCGATGGACCCTTTTGTAGTTGTATGTTCGAATGCAGCAACTATCAAAATCTGGTCTATTTAACTGAAAATTTTCTATGATTTGTCTCAATTAAAAACAAATTTTGAAAATCACAATGGCCTTCAATTCTCTAAATTTGATAGGAAAAGCTACAAGACGCGATCTAGCAACAATAGCTTCATCTCTATAGTGCAGCTTTTAGTGACTTGGTGAAGCTTTCTAACTCTTTCAAGCCTTCTTCAGGAGATTTTGCCTCGCCTAGTATTCTTACCATGGCACTGCCAACAATCACCCCGTCTGCTCCCCATCCGGCCACCTGAAATAAATACAAGTTAATGGCCAGCAACAAATGTTCCAGTCCTAGAGATTCATGTTTCTTGGAAAGTTTTGTGTCAGAAGTCCCACCTGTTTGACGTGCTCAGGTTTTGATATTCCAAAACCAACTGCTACTGGCTTATTTGTTGCCTGTAAAAAGAGTTTGCCGGCTTAGTAAAAGGTATAAATAGTTCAGCTAGTGTACTGAATTTACAATAAATCAGAACTCAATTTGGAGGACAAGATTCAATTGCAGAGCTGAAATCACATTCTGGCTTTCAGATTGCATATTTCCTACACCCTTTTGGACCAAGCTGATATAGCTACAAGTTCAAACTTAAATCTGAAATTGTCAGAACCTTCTCATACTCTGGAATCTACTCTTAGACTTGTAGCGCAGCAACACAATACAAATATCAAATTCAAAACGTACCTTTTTAACATCCGTTAGGAGAGATTGCACGTGGTTGCTCACAGATGCGCGAGCTCCAGTAACTCCAACTGAGCTCACCTATAATAGAGAAGAACCAATATCAAATGCTTTCGCTGCAGAAATAGTAAAAAATTGCATTTCAAGCAACACACAGACTCAGGCTGTAACCTTAAATGCTTACGCTGGATCCCTCCTGTCTTTCCAATACTTCACCCAAAGATGTAGGAAAAATGATAATTGTAAGACAACACTTTTACATTTCTTCTTACTTTCCATTTCATGATGATTCCCCCCAACTCCCAAACAGAAGTACGGTACCATTAGGAAATCAATCCCCTCGGTTGAGACAAAGTTGCAGGTACTTATTATCAGAATAAGATATTCAAGAAGATCAAAAAGTTTATTGCTCCACGTGTTAAATTTAACATCTTATGCTAGTCTTCATTCAGCGTATTACAATATGTATATTTATTTCTGAACTAAAGTTAATAGCCACAAAACCTAAAATACTAGTTTGCAAATTCAGCAAATTCTGACCATAGGATACCCTTCCATTATAGCTCCCCAAAAATCATTTGCAAGCTGGATTTAACCTAGGAATTGGCAAACTAGGGAAGGCAATGCTAAGGTCTATATACAGTAGTAGTTCCTCTATGGCATGACTATTTCTCTATATGATATTGTTAAGGAGAATTTTTGGAGGAGGTACATGGGTTTGAGTACCACAGCTATGCTAATGTCAAACTAATATGTGCCCGGTGAAGAATAATTTAAAAGAAGCAGTGACTACTCAGTGAAAGAAACTCAGAGTCAGAGAGAAACCTAATGACATGACTCTTTTCCATTTTGCTTTTATTCCCTTTTTCTTTTTCTTTTTTTTGGGGGTTGGGTGAGGGGTTGGAGGGTGGGGAGAGAGGAATTAAGGAAGGTATTGCAGTATAAAGAAGAATACTATGAAAATCTAATTAGACAGGAGTTTAATTATCAGATGATAAAATCGCCAAGACAACTGAAAGGAGAGAGGTTCTAAAAGATATGCAGTATTTTCCAGGATCTAAAACCTACTAATATTTCAGGAAGATATTAGAGATCTTACAAGGTAGAGAAATCCTTCTGAAGCTTTGGCAATTGCCTTCATTCGAGCTGTCGGAGTTGTGGGTGTTGTCAGCAACACCTTACATAAGAAGAACAAAAACCAGATGAATAGTCAATCATAATAAACTTCACTACATAAAATCAATGAGTCTGCTAATAATTCAGTACATAAACACTTTCATCTGTTCTTCGGAAAACCACTCCATAAAAGAGAAGTCAATGATTCAAAGCTGTGGATTCAACAGTCAAGAAATCCTAAAGAGTTAGAAAGCCAGAATTAAACCGATTCTATCCCAGCATAGAGACTGCAAGTAAACCGTCTCTATACATGATTTACTCAACCATAAGCCACACCGGAAACTATTCCAAAATTCTCAAAAACTAAAACTCTTTGACGTCTAAACCCACCAATTCAAGATTATACTTAGTAGCTTCCTTTCTCAATATCTCAGTCTCCTCCAGAGGTACATCCGGAACCACAAGTCCTGAAAGGAAAGAAAAATAACAAGAAAAGTATGATTATAATGAGGTACAGTTAGCAGAAAAAGTAATTCAAACATTAAGGTAAATCATGCACAAACAACAAAACTGAACAAAAACTGCACATTTGAACAGGCAACAGCACATAGAACAGAGAAACCGTTCTATTTACAACTGAAAAAAGCAACACTTTCAAGCACTACAGCTTTGAAGAAACTATCTTTATTATGGTGCTTATGGATCCTATAATAGCAGGCAGAAGGAAGACCAAGGTTGGTTATCTTTAGCTCACACAGTACACTTCATTGAGCATCCTGTACCGGTAGCAAAACAATCCTTGGTACAAAAGCAAGAAGAAAAGAATCGGGCTTGCTGTTAACTCTTGTGGCAGTCACCAGTGACAATTGCTAAAAGGAAGACTCCAATTGTAAGAATCCAGATCAAAGTCCTAAAGCATTTGACACCATATATGTGAAGAGGCGCTATGCATGAATAAACTTCACTCCAAAAGCAACTAAGATTTCAATCTACACATCACAACAATGATGTGCAGTTACAATATCAGCAACTAAAGCTACCATGTCCAACACTTGTGCCTTTGGCTCCTAGACCGCTGATAAAAAGATTTCTGCCCAAACCTACCTATATAATTTGATACTTCCCTAGCCCTTCTTTCTTCTGCTTAAGAAAGTTGAGGGATCTGATGCGTGATATCTCAGCAATGTGAAAAAGATTTCAGCCTATACCTACTTATATCATTTCCATATTTTCCTAGCCTGACTTTCTTCTACTTAAACAAGATGAGGGATGTGTGATCAGATGATGAAACACTCATGACAACTAGCCAAAGATATTAACAGGAATAGGGTAAGACAAAGACAGGAATAGGATTTCAGAAAAAAGTGACTAAGTGAAAGCAATATATTAAGTTACAAACAGCACAAAATAAAGATCTTAAAGTAGCCGTTACAATGTCAAGTGTACTACAATTGGACTTCATTTCAGCCAATACTCTCATTTCAAGCAAATGACCTCAGACAAGTCATGTTTTGAATTAGATTTAGCCTTTCTATTTCTTATATTATGGATCAAAATATAAAATGCTTTAAGGAAGACACGAAATTTACTCCTCACCATGTATCCCAGCATCTCTGACAGTGATCATGAACTTTTCAACACCACGCTTAAGTATTGGATTATAATATGAGAATAGTGCAATTGGACAAGATAACTGAGGTATAACCTGCAGGGCAATGAAAAAGCAATGTTAGACTAGAGAAAGGACATCTAATCTCACATAAAAAATCCTACATCAAATTTGCCCTGACCCAAGAAAACTGCAAGGCCATGATAATGCAATACTGGAGAATGAGAATTAAAACTAATCTGATTACTCAACTATGCTGACAACTTCCCCTGCTCCAGAAAGCTAATAGAGAATAGGATAAGAGACTATACAGAGAACGGAAAATCAATGAAGAATGAGAAAGAAAAGACAGCATATTTTTAGATACTGCCAAAGACATCCACCAAAATAAAACTAAACATTTATCAATCATGATACACAAAGAAGAATTTCTTCTGATACTAATGACAAGTTTCCAAACATATCCAATTAAAGTTCAATTTTTAGCTTAAACAATTACAATTGACAACAAAGTCATTGGGCATTTCTAATACAGGGCTCGGATAAATCTGACAGCTCTTGGTTGATTTTTAGTTAGAATCCCGAGGTCACAAGGCAGTGCTTCATCAACTTGCAAGCGTACATGGATAGAAATTAGATGTAAGGTGGTGGCAAAAAGACTTACATCCTTCAACATGGAGATAATCTTATCAAAATTTGTCCCTCTGGCTAGTGAACGTGTTGAAGCAGCCTTAGAAAATGTACCAAGAACAGATTTTAATGTTGGTCAAATCACAACAGGCAAAAGATAACACAAATGATCAATGTTTTCCTGATTCTATACCTGTA